TCTCTCTCTCTCTCTCTCTCTCTCTCTCTCTCTCTCTCTCTCTCTCTCTCTCTTTTTTCTCTCTCTGGGCCTCGCTCGCTCGCTGGGTCCCTCTCTTTTTCTCTCGGTGCGGGCAGGACGAAGCGCTTGTGCGGACGGCGAAGGCGCGGCGCAACGGCGTCGCAAGCCAAGGGCGATGCAGGGAGTGTTACAGGAGGGCCCGACGAGGAGCGCCGTCTGGGGGGCGTGGAAACGAGGGTGGGCGGCGGTAGCAGTGATGGCGGCGGTGGTGATGGCGGTAGTAGCGGCAGTGGTAGTGGTGGTAGCGGTAGTAGTAGTGGTGGTAGGAGACGGAGAGGGTGGTTCGGAGCAGGCGCAGACGCAGGGGCTGGCAGACCTCGGCGTCAGTGTCGCATGCAGCGCACTCGCAGAAGGGACAGCAGTGTGAGCAGCATGGGGCGCCGGGAAGTGGGAGAGGGGGTGGAATTGGAGAGGGTGGAGGAGGAGGTGGTTGGAGGAGGAGGTGGTTGGAGGAGGAGGAGGAGGAGGTGGTGGTGGTGGCCGCAGAGGCAGCAGCAGATGGCAGCAGTGGCAGCAGCAGCAGCGGCGGCGGCGGCAGGAGCAGCAGCAAGGGCAGAGAGGTTCGGGGATATGGCTCGAGAACAGGGTGGAGGAGAGGTGCAGGCATGGCGTGGTGATTGTGATTGGATTACTCGAGACGAAAAGAGCAAGGCGCAGCTGTGGGCAGCCCCCACCCGCGTCTTCAGCAGCAGCGCCGTCGAAGCACCTAAGCCTTCTGGAAGCTTGTCGGTCCGCGAAATGCTCCGCCGCGTCATTGGCAGCGAGCGAGCCAGCCAGCCTGTGTGTGTGTGTGCGTGTGTGCGCGCCCTGCTGCGCACGACTATACCATGCCCACGCCCGCCCGCCAGCCCCCCCAGCACTGGGTGCGCGAGCAGGTGTTTGGCAGGCGGCGGCGACGGCGGCTGCCCGTCACAGTCACCTGCGCGCGCCCGCAAACCCAGAGAGCCGCTCGCGCACGCTTGGCTGCAGGCCGGCCTCGGTCCTGAAACGCATCCATCCCCAGGGCTGGCCCAGCAGCCGTGGACGGGCCTCTGCTGCGCGCCTGGCCGCCCTCTGCCTCGACGACCACGCCTGCTACACAGCACTACCTGCTCGCGGTTAGCAGCCGCTGCCCTCGGTGCGCTGGCAGCGGCGTGTTTTGGCTGCTCCATGTACTATGTAGGTCTGCATGCCATGGCAGCGCAGGGCAGGGAAGCGCAGGCAGAACAGGACAGGGCAGGCCAGGCCAGGGCATCGAGGGCGGGCGCCGGGCTTCGCAGCCATGGCTCCGTTGTTCGCCTGGGCGCTCAGCCCAAGGCTAATATTACCCTCGCCTGCCCTGGGTGTGCCCTCGCCTCTCCCCCGCTGCCTGTTGCCACTCGGCCTCGTCATCTCCCGCCAGCACCCCAGCAACAGAAGCCTTCTGGAAGTGGCGACTCGTGAAAGCTCGCCCTTTCCCGGAGCGCCTGTGGGGGCTGACTTGTGCCCTCCCCCCCCCTGTTCGGTCCGCGTGCATGTGCACCACAGCTGCACCACAGCTACACACACACACACACACACACACCAAGCACTCGCTCGCTGATCAACGACCGCTGATCGCGACCCGTCTGCGCCCATGTCTTGCGACACCACCCACCCAGCCAGTGCAGTCCGTAGCAGCCTCTCTACCCGCCAGCCTCCCGACCTGTTCCATTGCTGCTCCACTCCTGCTCCTGCCACTACTGCCACTGCCACTACCACTACTACACCATTACGCCTACTACGCCTACGCCTACGCCTACACCATCACTACGTCCACATCTCCGCCTACGCCTGCATCTACCACGGTTCACGGCCACCATCACCACGACGATTCCTACTCCTACTCCTACTCCCGCCTCCCACGACACTGATACAGCTCCCGCCTCGACGTCGCCGCTGCCCCTCGTGTGCCCCATCTCCTCCACCACCACCAGAGCGGCAGGTGCGCTGCTGCATGCCGAAGTCTCGGCCACGCTACACGTAAGCAGCCCGTGGCCCGTGCCCGCCTCTCAGTCAAGTCACTCCACCCGCTGCAGCCTGCGACGACCAACTACACGCACACTAAGTCCCCATTGAGCCCCTCCGCCCGTGCCATTCGCCCTCGCCCTCGCCCTCGCCCTCGCCCTTGTCCTCGCTCCCCTCCCTTCCCTTCCCCTCCCCTCCCCAACCCCCAACCCCAACCCTGCCCACCATCTCTTGCACTTGCGCCGCCCATTCATGCCACCGCTGCCTGCGTCACTAGCTGACAAGATAAGACCTTAACAAGGCTGCTGATCCCATGTCTTGGTCAGCTGAAATCCGGGGTCGGCGCCTGCAGCCCCCAGTGGCCCTCGCCATGAACCGCATCATGGCAATCCCAACCTCTCGTCCCGCCCGAAGCTGCATGACTCGATCCAATCCCTCCGCGCCCCACGTCCCAACGCTGCCACCACCACTGCCACTGCCACTGCTTGTCCTCCCCCTCGACATTTCGCTTGCTGCCGCTCTCATGTCAAATGACGCCTCACGCTGCATTCCACTCCCCTTGGTACCGTGGCCCCGATTTACCCACTGCCAAACGCCATGCCTGCCTCTGTGACTTTGTTAAACCCACCCACTCACCCTATACTCACTCACTCCCCACAGCTGCTGATTCCATCTTCTCCCTCAAAACCTCTCCTCCTGCAACTGACGTGACACAGGCCCGATAGCACCCACGACATTTTTGCCTCCATCCCATGACAAGGCCTCCTCCTTCTCGGATCCGCCTGGTACGCCCTGTCGATCAGCTCACGCCTGGCACGACTCCACGACCCTTTTCTTTTGTGCTACCATTTCTTTAAACTTCTTGGAGAGCGTACGTGTACGAAAAATGGGGCTCGCGAGGCTATGGCGGTTCCAACCATGCGCCCCCCCCCCCAAACCATGCCAGAACCCTCTTTGCTTTAGCCGACTACCCAGATTGGGCCCACGATTACGCATCACCCGACACTCGACTTTGCTCTCTTGCAAGTCTCCAATTCGTCATCGACATGCAAGCAGTACAGATGCGGTAGCCCACTGTCCATCTCATCCACCGGACGAGGCGGCTATTGCTGTTCCAGACCTCACCCCCCACCCCCCCGGCAACACTCATTGTTGCCTGGCTCCCTCCTGAGAGGCACATTTACGTCTCCATGGGACATTTGACAGAGACGCTTGTCTAGATCGATGACCATGTCTCAAAAGTTGGAGTAATACCCAACCTCCTTTGGTGCAGTTGCGCGTAATTGGACACCACTTGCGCCTGCCACTCAACCCCCCCAATGGTCATTTCACAGTCAGCGTAAGCCGTCGGCACCCATGGCATGAATTGTTTCAAAACACCAGTCGCCATCTACACAGGACTTGGTATCATAAACCATTGCCATTCATCACACTGGCTACTTTTCCTACCTCTTTACGTCTGCCTGGCCCTGCTGATGAAAAGCCAAGTGTTTTTAATCTATCTCGCTTCCTCTGACAAAGCCAACGGGCATAAGACGCTGCTGCTGCCAAGCCTCCTTCAACTCAAGCACTCGCGTCATAGATTTGTGGATACCCATGCACCACACCTACGTATCTACCATGTGAAAAAGACTGAAAAACAGGGCTAGTTTTCAATCAAACTTTTCAGTGTAACCAGTCACATTTCAGTTGCAGTTCCAAAAAAAAAGTGTTTTTTTTTAGATGGAGTAATCTTTTTTCGTCCGCGCGTCACTTGCCCTTGTTGCCGTCTGCATAAGCTTTTTTTTTCTCGACCCACACACACACACACACACACATATACACACATGCACACATGCACACATGCACACAATCTACATGAACAGATAAGCACAAGGTACTTTTCCTATAATACATGTCATATTTACACAAAGTAAAGTATCTCATGTAGAGAAAATAGTATGTATACCCTAGTCCAAGAAGAAGAAAGCGGTTAAAATGCCACTTTGACACATTTGTCGTGCTTGGTACTAAGTAATTAAATAATAATAATCATAATAACTAATAACGTGGTTCACAAGTAAGTCGCTAACCCAAGCGAGTCGCTAACGCCCTACCACTACATCTACGTTAACACGTTATTATAGTTTTTTATTATAGTTAATAAACTATTGCAATACACTAAATTAATTATTAAAATTGCTACTATTACTTACACTATCTATCTTAACTACGTAGGTACAAGCGTTGTGTCTAGTCTGCTTATAACGCCCGCACCACCACTCTTCTCGCACCCTCTTTAACGCACTCTTACTATTACTATAACTACTATCTACCTATTTAGCTAATACTTCTTATACTTTGCCTATAGTAAGAGTCTCTTCTATCTATACGTATCGCCGCTTATAGCTTTTACGCTTATTTAACTTATTAAGAGCTACTTAAAGCATACCTATTTCCTCTATTATAAGCGTTATTTTATATACTATTTGCTAGGCCCCCTTACTTAGCTGCGCGATCTACTTAGTAAGTAAATTAGTAGAAGACCTACAGCGTTTTCTTACGCTCTCTTAAATAAGACTAATTTAAGACTTAACTTCGCGCGCGTTACGTAGTGTCTACGTCTACTAGGTAGCTACCTATTGCAGTAATTATACAATGTTACACGGGGGTCGGCTATACTTCTCTGGTCTCGGTCTGGGTTAGGGCGAGTAGACTAAAGCGGTAGTCCGTGTGATTGTTTGCGAAGTGCTATGTAGAAAAGAGTTATAGGATTTAACTAAAAGAATGAACAATTAATTCTATACTAAGATAGAATAACTAGTATCAATCTGTGTAAGAGATGAACTATTCTAAAGAGTTGACCACAACGAGTGTAATAATGAGATCCGACACATTCTTATACCTATTGCCTCTGGTCCTGACATCTGTCCCAGCCTTCGGCATCTCTGATGTCGCTGGCATCCCTAGATGTCCTGGCATCCCCTAAGGAACTGGCATCTCCAGATTCCCTGTCTTGGCGAGATGCCAAATCACGTGACCACGCCCCGCGTTGATCATTACCTTCTGACGTAGACGTCCATAGGCTCCTTGCCTTCCATCCGTTGTCAAGGAGAGAATCCTTCCTGTTACCTTGTAACATTACCTCCCCTCTTAGGGCTATCGTCTTGATACCCTAGGTTATCGTTTTCCCGTGCCGCGTGTTGAAGCGCTGGCTGCATATAAGGTCGGTAGGCCCTGGGCCCTGACAACCGTCCCTTCCCAACTCTAGCCTTCCTAACCATGCCCAAGGTCCAGAAGCCCCGTGCCGCCCGTCCTTACTCGTCGACTGATCAGAAGCGTGCTCGTGCAGCGCGTGTGGAGCAAGAGGGTTTTGAAATGGACTTCTGTTGCAAGCGTTGTGAAGAGAAGAAGCTCCGCTGCTTTGTAGAGACGTCCACTGGTCGCTGTGCTAGGTGCATTTCAGTTGGTGCTAAGTGTAGTTTGTTTGTTTCTAAGGAAGAATAGCGAATCGTGCAGGAGAAGCGTGAAGAGAAAGAGTTGGCGGTAGCGCGTCTCGAAGCGCAACTTTCTCAGCAAAAGCTTAAGCTCCTTGAGGTGAAGAAGCGAGAGCGGTCTTTCGCTCGTCGCGACCTCGCGATTCTTAATGTACAGGATCGTGCG